GGGGGAACCATTCACAAGTACGCCCCTCTCTGGCCTCATCTTTAACCAAAACCAGAGCGTGTGACCTCCCAAAGCTTCGCAGCTCGCTATAGAAGAACAACGTAGGTAGGAATTATTGCACCTGCCACCAAAATGCAGCCACCTCTGGGTTGTGTAATGTCACACGGCAACACTAGGGACCTGTTTAGATGAGGAAGTGGAAAAGGATCCCCCGGTCCAGTTGAAATTCCACGAGAGACCCAACAGGCCCAGCACCAGCTGGCAGACAGTTGTAGCGCAGTGATGGTCAGCAGAGCAGCAATCTGCAGACACGGCCAGATACCCAGGAGAAGACGCCAGATCCGTGGCCGTCGGGATCTTCCTTCCTCCCTCCCCCTAGAAAGGCTCTGCACGTCTCTAAGGTGCCACAAGTACTCCTTTTCTTTTTTCAGATTAACTTTCATTACTCTGCATTCGTTATTACTTCCTCTGCCTGGAAGCGGGAACTGCCAGCATGTGGGTAAAGGGATTAGAAGGTCACCTAGTTTCAGTGGGGCTTCTGTCCCAGCACCTCCTTGGCCTCTGCAGAAATGCTGTTTTGTAACTGGCTCCGCAGTAATTCCCCCTCGGGGAATCACAACAGATGTCCTCCCTCCTAAGCAACCGCCTAATGGGGCTGTGAGATGGCGAAGGGTGATTATAGTTTCCATCTTTCCTCAGTGACACAAGTACACCAGTGTTACAGGACATCTTGAACGTCAGAATGGGGTGGGGAGGAGTTGCGGGGGGGCATCACAGGGGGGGAAAAACATCCATCAAATAAATTGGTTAGTCTCTAGGGTGCCACAAGTCCTCCTTTTCTTTTTGCGAATACAGACTAACACGGCTGTTCCTCTGAAATCCATCTCTGTAGAACTTTACAGATTCCAAGGCCAGAAGCAACCATTGTGATGATCTAGTCTGACCCCCTGTGTAGCAGAGGCCAGAGATCTGCCCCCAAATAACTCCTACAGCAGATCTTTTAGAAAACATCCACTCTTGGTTCAAAAAAGGTTCGTGAGAGAGAACCCATGTCAACCCTTGGTAAATTGCTCCAATGGTTACTCACGCTCACTGTTCAAAATGTCCATCTTATTTCCAGTCGGAATTTGTCTAGCTACAACATTTAGCCACTGGATAGTTTTATACCTTTCTCTGCTATATTGCAGAGCTATATTAGAGATTTCTTCCCCATGTCGGTATTTTATAGACTGTAATCAAATCACCCCTTAGCCTTCTCTTTGTTAAGTTAAATAGATTGAACTCCTTGAGTCTGTCATTATCAGGCAGGTTTTCTCACCCTTTAACCCTTCCCATGACTCTTCTCTGACCCCTCTCCAACTGATCAACATCCTTCTTGAACTGCAGGCACCAGACCTGGTCACAGGATCCCAGCAGTGGTCACACCAGTGCCAAGTACAGAGGTAAAATAACCTCTCTGCTCCTACCTGAGCTTCCCCTGTTTGTGCATCCCAGGATCGCATTCATTCAGCTGATTATTCACCACGGCCCAAAATCTTTTTCGGCGTCACTGCTTCTCAAGATAGAATCTCTCACCCTATAAGTATGGTCAGCAGTCTTTGTCCCAAGATGTATACATTTACATTTAGCTGCATTAAAATGCATACAGTTTCCTTGCGCCCAGTTTACCAAATGATCTAGAGCGCTCTGATTCAGTGACCTGTCCACTTCATTATTTACCACTCCTCCAAGTTTTGTGTCATCTGCAAACTTTATCAGTGATGATTTTATGTTTTCTCTCAACTCATTGATAAAGATGTTAAATAGTGTAGGACCAAGAACTGACCCCTGCAGGACCCCAAGGGAAACGGTCAATGAGGATACCCTGTTGTGTTTTGAGACCTGTCAGTTAGCCAGTTTTTCATGTGCGCTGTGTGAATTTGGAATATTTAAGTGAGTTTCTAGCCCTTATGGCTTCGGAGAAAGCCTTCCAAGCATCCTGATGAACCCTGAGTCTGCAGACAGACAGCTCTCTTCTGCAGCTGCTCAGAAGTTTCTGAAGCAGCAGCAGTGTGAAACTGACAAGACTCTAGTCAGTATCACAACAGGGATTCAGAACCCCAGAGCAGAAGGGAAACTGACAAGAATCATGTCAATTTCATGATGAAACTGCTTGGGAAAGCATTTCCGGCTCCTTTTTCTTCTCTGCCTAGGGCTACTAGGTGTATTCCTCAGGCTCAGAGGTGCCTGATCAATGTTCATAGCCCTGCTGATCCGAGAATCTACAATCCAAGCATAGGAGCAATGCACACACACGTGTACATACCCCTGACCCCCCCCCCCCCCCACACACACTGTTTTCTACCTTCAGGTTTTCCAGACAGCTGATGAGATGCCAGTTCTCCCACACAGCACTGATCCTCACTACACCTCCCGCTGCTCCGAGTTTGAATTCCCCACCCAAGCCGCCAGACTTGGAGTCCAAGTTACAACACAAGCAATTCATGTAACAGCCGCCAAACAGTGGGTGTCGTTTTCCCTAGTGAAATTTATGCCACTGGGAGCAGGGCAGGGACGAGGTTTCCTCTAGGCATCGTCACACGCTCCTGCCAACGAAGCTGAAAGCTGGCCGAGCTGCGTACCCACATCCAGCCCGGGGTACTATTGTGCATGCCTCAGTGACGTGACCCCGCTGGAGGGAAGGGAGGTGGTGGGGGAAAGAAAGAGACACACACAGGAGAAATTAAAAGGGGAAAGCAGCCAGCCTTCAGAAGGGAATGACAACCTGCTGGAGAAGCTTGTCCGCACAGGAGAAAGTCAGATGAGATCAGCTCACAAGCCCTGCAATAACAAACCACTTGCCATTTCAAGTTGATGCCTATGGCTCCGACATCACACCAAAACATCCTCCCCAGCTTATCAGAACGCACCAGGGGGGCGTGGGGGAGGCCTGCCTCTCGCTGCATGTGACTTGGATCCCATGTGCATGTTCATACGTGGGAATCCGGTCACGTTTATCCATTCCCATACAGCCCGCCTTACGGGCCTCCCCGAGGTTAATGGCAACCGTTCCATTGACCTCAGAGGGCTCTGGATCTGCAGCAATTGGGCAGGGAAGAGGGTGCTTGTTTCCTTGCTGGGCATCAAAGCATGAAGCCAGAGGAAGGACTGTGAGATTTTCCTCCTTCCAGCTGGCATCCTCATGAGCAGGTCACAGCTCCCCTCCGCGCCGGCCTTCCCAATCCAAGAATCACATTACAGATCCCCTCAGACCTTCGAGCTCCGGCCGCAAGCAGGCATATTATGCTGTGCTCAATGAACAGCTCATGGCGCAGCTGGCGTCAGCTTGAAATCCAGCAGCGCACCAATAACCATGCGTTCTCAGGGCAGCCACAGCTAGCCGGAGAGGAGCGGGCTCGCCCTCCCTATTGAGCGGAGGTGAAAGCCAGCTCCTCCAAAACCAGATCAGGGTGTATTTGATGCATCCCCCTACAGATGCTTTTCCCAGCCTTCTCCAGGCACCCTGCCAGCCCCACTCTTGGCATTCTCCCACCGTAACTCCCCAGACGAAGCTTCCGGGCGATGCTCTCCGGAGTGAGACTCTCTGCTCTGGAGGACTGCACTGCAGCCTCGCGTCCCATCCCGGCCGTTACATTCCATCGAGGTACGGAGCGAGAGGGTCCAACCCCTACCCGAGCGAACGGAAGGACTCCAGTCCGGCCCTAAACAACTCGCCTGAGGACCAGGAACTGAGCCCAGATTCTCTGCAGTCCGAATCCAGAGTCTTAACCACAGAACTGCCTTTCACTCTACACCACAAGAGTTTACACAGGGCAGCAAAGGTGACAGGAGAGGCAGCCCTATGGGAAGGGGGCAGAGAAAGAGGACCTCTCCCCGAACATGCACACTTGCGCTTTGCCAAACAGGATGGAGATCCATATGCCACAGCAGCTGCCAGCCAGGCCAGCCCCTGCCCAGGCTAGAAGGGCAGGCCAGGGCTGGGGGAGGAGAGGCCTGGCTGGCCCGGGTCAGTCCAGAGCGGGTAGGGGCTGCTTCCGCTGTAAATCACCCTCCTGAGCCCAGCGAGGGGCCAGAGGGAGCGAGACACTTTCCCAGCACTCTGGGGACAGGGCCTCACCACTGGGGATAGGGGACACAGCGCAATCAGGGCAGCAGGGCAGTGCCCCAGTGCGGCCTGCCCGGCGTGGGGTGAACTGTACACTGAGCTCCTGCCCCATGCACCCCATGCCCCCCACTACCTCCTCCCCCCAATACCCAACTATCCTCCACTTCTCCCAACAGTCCCCCCCACTGCCCAGTAATCCCCATAAACTCCCCGCTCACCACAGTCCCCAACCCCTCACCCCAACATCTCAGCCTCCAACCCCTCTGCCCCCCAACATGCCCCATAACTTACCTTCCATCTCCTCACCCCACCCCCCACAGACCTCAGTCACCCCCAACATCCCAGCCTCCAACCCCACTGCTGCCCAACATGCCCCACTGCCCCACAACTCACCTCCCACCTCCTCACCCCCCCATGGCCCCAAACCCCACCACCCCCAACATTCCCCATCCCCCCACAACGCATCCCCCAAACCCTCACCCCATTGCCCCCAACAACCTGCCCCATTCACTCCTGACACACTGGACCTCTATATCCCCCACTCACTCCACCAGCCCCCCAACCCCAGCAGCCCAACATTTCCCAGCCCCCCACAGCCACAACTCCCCCAAACTCCTCACCCCCCTGCCCCTACCTCTCCCCACAACTCCCCCAAACTCCTCCCCCCGCTGCCCCCAACATCCCCCCACAACTCCCCCCAAAGTCCCTCCCCCGCTGCCCCCAACTCCCCCCAAACTCCTCCCCCCACAACTCCCCCAAACTCCTCCACCCACCGCCCCCAACATCCCCCCCAACTCCCCCCAAACTCCTCCCCCCGCTGCCCCCAACAACTCCCCCAAAGTCCCTCCCCCCGCCGTCCCGACCCACCAGCCCCGGGACCCTCCCGGCCACTCACCGGCGGCCCCCGGCTCCGCGCTCCGCTCCCGTCCCGGGCCAGGGCGGCTCCTCTCGCTCCCATCGCCCGCCCCGCGCTCCCCCGCCGGAGCCCCCAGCGCCAGGCTCCGCCCGGCCGCCTCCACCCCCCTAGAGCCCCCCCAGTGGGGAGGGCACCAACAAGGAGCCGCAGCTGGGGAGGGGCCCGACTCGGGGGGGTCCCTACAGACGGAGCCCGGCCCCAGCGACAGCCCCGCCCCACCCCCAGACTAGCCCCCCCGGGGGGGCCTTTAGGTGCAGGAGACCTTAGGATCCTGCTATGGGGATGGGGACCCCTAACCCCCCAGATCAGCCCTGCCCTGGGGGCCCTTTAGGGGCGGGAGACCATAGGATCCTGCTATGCCGATGGGGGCCCCCAGGATTTTGTCAGTACCCATTTATTGTGTATATTATGGTAGCACTTAGCCCCACCCCCCAGTAGTGTACCAGGCTGACCCCATTGTGCCAGGTGCTGTACAAAGCTGCCCTGCTGCCCCAGCGGCCTTTCCCCACCAAGGCGGGCGTCACAGCCCCACAGCATCTGGTCGGACCCTCTTTGCCACATAGGGACCAGGGGCTGGCCTGGAAACACTATCGGGTGGGGCTGAGCTGCACCCGCCCCCGGGAGCAAAGCATGGAGCCAAGGAAGGGAAGAGGAATGCCAAACCCCGTGGAAGCTGGACCAGGGTCAGCCACGGACATTTACACCCTGGCTCTCGGGTAAAATGCCCCTGGATCTTTGCCTTGTTCAAAAGGCAGCAGCCCCATGCACATTGGGGGTCAGTACTCACTGGGAGGGCTGAGTCCTACTGGGTCACCCCTCAGCACAGCACCCCCTAGCCCTACCCTGGGCAGGGGGGTCAGTACTCACCAGGAGGACAAAGCACACCCAGCAACTCACTAGGGAAGCACTCTAGGGAAACAACAGCCTTGGCTGGGTCACCCACCCTGCCACACAGGGCTCATTCAGAGACAATAGGACCCCCAAGTACCCTCCTGGTCAGCAGCCTCACTCTTGACTCACCACCATGGCTCAAGCTGTCTCCCATCCATACAGTAACCCAGTCTGGGCCTGCTTAGCTTGTGAGAGCTGACAGCCTCCCAGCACAAGGTAGTACCAGGGGCACTCTGGAGCTGCAGGCTTCCCAGTAGGAAAATAAGAGCTTGCCAGGGACTGCTGCCAATCAGACCAAGGCCAGAGCCACATCCACTTTCGGGGGCCGAGGAAGCAAAGCTAACTTGACTGGCTGCGGGGTGCACCAACGTGTCCTCCCTGACTGCAGCTCCTGGAGCGGGCCAGGTTAACAGGAGGGTGAGGCTGGGTGCGTCATTAATTAACTCGGGTTTCCAGTGGAATTGTCATTCGGCTCTGCGTTGCACGCTGCACGCAAGGTTGCGTGTGGCTCTGGGGCAGGGAGGGCAGGTGCTGCAGAAGTTTTGCCGCCTTGGAACTCTGCTGACTCAGGCCCCAGGTCTTCGCATGTGCAGCGTTCAGCACGATTGGGCCCGGATTCTGCCTGCGGCCTCTGGGAAGTAGGGCAAGAACAAGACGAGCCTACGAGATATCAGAATCAATGGCTGGGCCCACGTGGCGGGCTGCTGCAGGAGCGTGGCATATGAAACCCCGGCTGTTTGTGACTCCCGCTGGCTGCGGTGCAAGTGAGCCGGTGCAGTCAGGTACACCGCACCATTCAGATACGTATGGCCCGTACGCCGTACAGGAAGACCCGTTTTTCGGGGCTCTCCCGGGAACCACAGTGGCGAAAGGAAGCAGAACGTGGGGCCACCGGGTGCGCTTGTCCCGGCCCCAGCCCCGGCCCCAGCCCTTCTCCTGTCTGGGGTCTGTACAGCCCCGCCGCAGGACGGGGCTGGCGGCTGTACAGCTGCCCCGGAGAGCTGCTGGCGGCCCCATGTTCTGCTCCTTTTGCCACTGCGGTTCCCGGCCGGGAGAGCCCTGTTGTTCAGAGATCAGTATCCGGTGCAGCGGGAGGACAAAGCCTCCCCCGCCCGGTAACATGGGATGGGGAGAGCGCAGGGGCCCCAGGCGGGAAGGAGTTACACGAGGGGTCATGTGGGGAGGTCACGTGCCCCCTTTATGTCCCTCCCATAAGTGGCCTATGCGTACAGGTAGGATAAAAATGTGATAAAAATAACAAGAAGTTACTGCTGTTGGTCTGAGCCTTGAGCACTAATAATATTCAGAATTTATTCCACTCTTTACCAACACCAGAGGGAAACGTCAATCCACACACCACACCTGTGAGATAGATAAGGACTGACCTGCATGTATTAGTCCTACTGCCCTCTGCTGGACAGAATCAGAACCGCTCACCTGTGTGACACAAGCCCTGTACTGCACACAGCTAATGGAGAGCCTTCACTAGCTCAAGTGCTAGAGACCTGCTCTTTTGGCTGTCTGTTACCTACAGTAGCCATGCTGTGCAGAGCCCCATAAACCGTGAACATGTCCCATTCCCCAAATACTCATTTGGGTTCAGGAGTGAATCTTGATTCAATCATCTGTGCGATGCTGCTGCGTTCGCTCCCCGGAAAGAGTGAACACTTGAGCTCTGCTTCCGAAGAGCCATTTTAAATCTTGACTATTCTCAGAAGGTGAATTTCAAAGTCGACAGTCAGTTGTCACATTCCCACTGGATTTCACAAAACACGTGTCCTGGTTTGCATTTGCGGGCTGGAGACCTTATGTAACTAACCGACGCAGCGTTAAATACAAATCTGTGAATGTTACAATCAAGTCTGTAACTGGACCTGCCGGCTGCTGTGGTGAGTTACCTGAATCACGCGGGATTGTTTGCTTCGGGATTACTGCTGTGCATTACCCAGTCCGCCCAGTGGGAATGTCAAATCGTATATGCAGTTGTCATATTTGAAATCTGCATTTCACATGGGGGTGGCTGATTACATAAGCCAACATAAACAGCGCAACAGGACTCTGCTGTTGACTCAAAGCCTGGCCTTCAGCAAATTGTTTTGCCTCTTTGTGACTCAGTTTCCTCCATCTAGGAAATGCGGGTAATGGTATCTACCCTTTTTTACCCGGTACTTTGAGATCCATGCAGGAAGAGTGCAAAGTGAGCGGCAAGCGCTGCGATTTGTTATCCCATCATTAACTCACACAATGCAATGAACAAACCTCCGCAATTGGCAATGTGGGACCCATCTGCCAAAATTCTTGGCCAGAGAAATGTGAATCATTTTGAACAATAAATAAATTAAAGAATTTCACAGTCTCTTCATAGACAGTCCACTGATAGGGGAACCAAAAGGTGAAATGAACTGAACAAATGATTTGCTACAAATTAGCCGCACACTCTCAAGTCTGAATTAATTAGAGGGACGGATCCTCAGCTGGTATAAATCCCCAGCGCTGGCTTCGCACCAGCCAGGAACGAATACACTAGCAGGAGTTCAGCTACTTAGAAAGAAACAAATACAAATTCAGGGTTTATTGAAAGTCTTTTTGAAAGCCTCGATCACCTTCCTATCCAGATGCTATTTACAGCTGCTAAAGAACGTAGACAATTTCTATCCCAAGAGAAAGGTAGCCACTGCAGCCAATGCAGGATTAAGGGGGAAAACATACAAAAGTATGTAGCTCACGAAAGCTCATGCTCAAATAAATTGGTTAGTCTCTAAGGTGCCACAAGTACTCCTTTTCTTTTTGTGAATACAGACTAACACAGCTGTTACTCTGAAATAGGTGAGCCTTGAGGGCCATCAGACCCACGCTTTGGGGGAGCGCCCCCAGGAGGCAGATCCATAGCTCCCCGTGGAAGCAGGCCCCACCCTGGGAAAGTTGATCTGTGGGTCTAACAGCAATAGCCTCCCAGCTGATTTGTGGGTAGGGGGCTGGAAAGGAGAGACAGGAGGATGTAAATAACGGGTAGGTAAAAATAAGAGAGGGGGGAAGTTTGGAACCCTGCTGGGAGCGGAAGGCGTTTGGAGCTGGGGTGCTTTTTCATGGCCACGCCAGCTGTGGGAGCGGGGCAGCTGGCTCAGCAGCCAAGAACCAACCCGTTAGTCAGCAAGTCCCCCCCCCGTGAGGTTTTATTCCTGGAGCGGTTTAAGCGACAGCAGTGGGAGAAACCCGGCTTTGCAGGCCACAGCAGCAACGCATCCATTAACGAGCAAACAAACAGGAAAACTCGGTCTGGGTTCTAGCCCAGCCCTGGAAACTGCCAGGCGATGCACAGACCTTCCCCTCCACATGCCCAAGTAACTGTTCCCGCCTCAGGAACAAGGAAGGGGTTAAGTTAACCCCCCAGTTTGCTGAAGGAAACAAGCCAAGCTTAAGACATAAACTCCTTGGTGGTTTGGCGTTTCTTTGGGGATGCCCACTAGTTATGCCAATCTGTCCCACAGTAGGGGTGGCCTTGGGGCACTGGGTGGGCAAGGCTAGCCACTTTCTTTCACTAACATCTAATGAAAAAAGAAAAGGAGGACTTGTGGCACCTTAGAGACTAACAAGTCCTCCTTTTCTGTTTGCGAATACAGACTAACACGGCTGCTACTCTGAAACCTAACATCTAATGGCATCCCCTGGCACTACCAGCTCCCCCCGCCCAAGGCAATCAAAGGGCCTGAGTAGGGCCCATTGCTCCGATGTCTAGAGTTGGGCAGCCTCATGGTCCTTGCTTTCCTCATAGACTCTGGCCTGGCTGTGGAGAAACCTGCCTGGAACTCGGAGGGAGAAGCATGGGTTGCAGGAGGGAGGCGTTTGGAGGCGGAACTGGGCAGTCAGTCTGTGTGCACATGGCTAGAATGCCAGCTGCAGCAGATCTCTGTGATTAGCGGCCTGTGGTACATGAAACAGGGAGAATGAGCGCCTTCTGCTGCTGCCGTGTAAACTGCTGCAGGTGGAGTTGCTGTTGCCACATAAATTGCTGCTGCTGCTGCTCCACCAGCCACGTCAGGAGGGTCTCGGGCGCCATGCTGCTCATTGGATGGAATCCCACTTCTGGCACCAATGGCAGATCAGCTGGGTCAGCAACAAACAAAACCACAACAGCCCTTCAGTCTTCCAGGTGTTTGGAGAGCGCTGGGTACCACCAGAGAAGAGAG